TTAACTGGTTGAATGTTTTTATTTATTTGGAGCATTGGTTGTACAAAGCAAGAGTTTAATTTCCGCAATCCAGATTAAAGCAGATCTCTATCGGGGCAAAATTCATTTGTCAGGGCAGTTCCAACATGTGAACATCTACCTTCTTGTTATGTTTGGGGTAACTTTATTCTTAGGCAGTTGTTCTTATAGACTATTAGCCCCAATTATGAGAGTCATACAAAAGGAAGTGTCCTCATGTGATGTGTGGGGCAGCATGCTCTATAAATGAAAAAAGCTTGGAGTCTAACAAAAGTAACCCACTGTTTACAAACAGCAAATAGTTGAGAATAGAATTTTCTTCTCCTCCTCCTCCACTCCTGCCCTCCCGCCTTCCCCCCTCCTCCACTCAAGGCCTCATGAATGCTAGGCAAGCACTCCACCACTGAGCTGCATTTCCAGTTCAAAAGTAGTATTTTCTGTCTCCTTTGTCCCTTAATTAAAGGTAGTGCTGGAGTCTGACAACCAAATTTGGTTTTTATCCTGGCCATTTGCAATCTATTTCCCCATGTGACATGCACAATTAGCTTTACAAATAGTCATCCATTGAGTTTGAAGAGTCCTTGGGTCCTTTCCTTCCTCTTCTTTGTGGTTTCATGCCCATGTTTCCTTGTGGTACCTCTACATGAGGGTCTTTTAAAGCCACCATGTTGTCTGGTTTCTTCTAAAATCTTGTCCAAACCAAGGGGCTCTTCCTCAAACTGAACTGGTCCTTCTCAGCCTGTCTATGGTCTTCACACACACACCCACAAAAAAAAAAAAAATCCCTACCTGGAACAAATCCATATGTCTTTATTCTGGCTTTCACTTCATCTCTGTACAGGTTCCTGTCCCATTGTCACCTCTCACCTCTCCAGATTGGTCCTAAACTCTAGACAGCCAGAACCAAATCGATATTAACTTTGCTCCACAATGCATTTGTCTCCCTGCACTTGGTTTCAAGTAAAGAAAAAAACCTCTGGTTTAATTCAGTTGTCTCTAGTAGGTGGGCTACTTTGACTGAAAGTTGCTTTTTATCCATTTCTGTGCCATTATTATCTCATTGTACTTTTAATGTTCCTCCCATGGGTTTTCCTAGGTAGTCATGGGTAATTGCATGCACAGTGATTCTTGAGATGTGTCATATTTCACAACTTTCATGTCAGTCACTCCCCATAGGCCAGTCCAGGGGAAGGACTTAATGCTCCAAGCCCTATAGACTTCAATAAAAACCTGTGTTAGGCTGTATGTAGCTTTAGTTCTTGACCTCTCTGAGATGACCCACTTTCACCTCTGAAAATGTCTTTCTATCTTAATAAACTTTACTATTCTTAATAAACGTTTCTATTATTTTCACTGTTTTGCATCTTGCCTGAAATCTTCTGCCACCAGGTGCAAGAATGAAGATAGCTGCGCTGACTTTCTGATAACACTTCTGGCATTTTAGGGATCTCCCAGCATCCTTTTTAGTGGCAAGAAGAAGCCCCTTTGGAATCCTGTGCTCCCTTCTAGAAGGTCTTTATGCCTTCTTTAGATCCACTGGGCTGCAGCTCTCACCTGAGAACAAGATGTCCAGAACACATTCAGGAAGAAGCCACTCTCTGAAATACTGGACAACTGAGGCACCCACCTATCTGAGACTCACATGCCTTCCCCTGAAAAATCATGTAAGATTCTCCCTTAAGGTAAGATGGTCATTGAAAGGCAAGGATCTGCTATCATCCAGCAGGCCAGCTTGTTGTTATAAAACTCTTTCTTTCTTCCTCTCTCTGCCTCTCCATTCATGAACTCCATTTGGCAGTAGCAAAGTAAACCTTGTGTGATTATGACACCAGTCCTGTGAGAGACCCTCCTCTCTGTCTTCTGTGGGTCTCTGACTAACATCCCTGCCTGGCTCTTAGCAGGGAGATGAGGCAGCAGCTGTGAGCTGTCCTTGACTCTTTCTTCAGTGCTCTATGGCCACTGCCTCAGGGAAGCCTTCTGACCCCAGGCTCCTATGGCCCTGAATACTGGCTTCATGGAGGACATCCCTGCCCGGCTCTTAGCAGGGAGATGAGGCAGCAGCTGTGAGCTGTCCTTGACTCTTTCTTCAGTGCTCTATGGCCACTGCCTCAGGGAAACCTTCTGACCCCAGCTCCTATGGCCCTGAATACTGGCTTCATCGAGGTCACAGAACCCATTCATTTCTGTCACTCTTCACATTCCCACTTTCCCATGACCAGGCCCATCCCAGGCAAAGCCCTCGCTCCTCAAGCTCACTGCCCCACTGAAGCCTGCCTAAATAGAAAGCATGCCTTTATGGAGTCAAAGGAAACTACAACTCCCAGAATTCCCAGCACATGGGAAGCTGAGACAGGAGGATTGCAAATTAGAGGTCAGCCTGAACTACATGAGACTCTGTCTTAAAATAAACAAAACAGCAAGATATAGAATAATGCATATAGGATGTTTTCTTTGTACAACAGGACGTTGCGGGGGAGAGATAATTGCTTATACATAGACTATTGTTAGAAAGAGGTATGAAAAGTGCAGGGCTGGGGATGCAGCTCAGCTGTAGAGTGCCTGTCCAGCATGCATTAAGCCCTGGGTTTGATCATCAACACCACAAAGAAAAGAAAAAGTGCTAAAGGTGGTTGTGGCTATAACAAGGAAAATGGCAAGACTAGGACTAGGGATAGAAAAGAGATTTGTTTTATACTGAATACTTTTATGCTCTTATTTTTCATTGTGGTAAATGGCATTAATGGAAAATCCACCATTGAAAATGGATGGAATTGGAGAACATCATTCTGAGTGAGGTTAGCCTGGCCCAAAAGACCAAAAATCGTATGTTCTCCCTCATATGTGGACATTAGATCAAGGGCAAACACAACAAGGGGATTGGACTTTGATCACATGATAAAAGCGAGAGCACACAAGGAAGGGGTGAGGATAGGTAAGACACCTAAAAAACTAGCTAGCATTTGTTGCCCTTAACGCAGAGAAACTAAAGCAGATACCTTAAAGCAACTGAGGCCAATAGGAAAAGGGGAACAGGTACTAGAGAAAAGGTTAGATCAAAAAGAATTAACCTAGAAGGTAACACCCACGCACAGGAAATCAATGTGAGTCAATGCCCTGTATAGCTATCCTTATCTCAACCAGCAAAAACCCTTGTTCCTTCCTATTATTGCTTATACTCTCTCTGCAACAAAATTAGAAATAAGGGCAAAATAGTTTCTGCTGGGTATTGAGGGGGGGCAGAGGCAGGGGCGGAGTGGGTGGTAAGGGAGGGGGTGGGGGCAGGAGGGAGAAATGAACCAAGCCTTGTATGCACATATGAATAATAAAAGAAAAATGAAAATAAATAAATAAATAAATAAAAAGAAACCTATAGAAATTGTTTGAAGAAGGAGGGTGGGGATGAGGTTGAATGATAGCTGGTAAATTTGATTGGGGCACATTGTATGGAAATATCACAATGATATGTGTCAATAAAAAACTATTAAAAAAACAAGTAATACAAAAAAAAAAAAAAAAGAAAATCCACCATTGAAAAAGTGTATAGATCAGTGATATTTCATACATTCACAACGTTGGACAACCATCCCAGCTATGTCCAAAATTTTGCTGTCATCCTAAAAAGAAAGTCCATACGTATTAACCCATAGTTCCTCCATTCTTCCCCTTATCCCAGCCCATGGTAACCTTTAGTCTACCTCTTGACACTACAGATTTGCATATTCTAGATAGTTCATGTAAGTAAATCATACAATATTTGTCCTTATGTCTTTGACTTATTTCCCCTGCTATATTATTCTCAAGGCTCATCCATGTTACGCAATTATCACAACTTTTAACAGCTCAGTAATATTTTATTGCACACATCTGTCATCTTGTTTAACAATTTACATGTCACTGGACACTAAGTGTTTTTCACCTTTTGCCTGTGGTGAATAATGCAGCTGTGAACTCTGGTATACCAGTGTCTGTTTGAACCCTGTTTTCAATTCTTCAGGGCATATGTGTAAGAGCAGAATTACTGCATCATCCACTTTTTTTTTTTTTTGATTGTTTTGGATATTTGGAGTCCTTTGAAATTCTGAATGAATTACAGGAAGAATTATTCTTTTTCTGCAAAAACACCATTGAAATTTTGATAGAGGTTGCATTGAATCTGGATTGACACTTTTTTGTTTGTGTATGTATGTTTTTTTATGAGGCAGGCTCTCACTATATAGTCAAGACTGACCTAAAATTCTCAGTCCTCCTGTCTCAGCCTCCCAAGTGTTGGGATTACAGGTATGGCTCACCATGCCCAACTAGTATTGATACTTTTAACACTATTAAAACGACTTGAAAGTAGGATGACTTTCCATTTACTTCAGTCTTTAATTTCTCCCAGCAAGAGTTTGTAGTTCTCAATGTGCAAGTCTTTCACTTCCTGTGTTAAACTTATTTATAAGTATTTTAGTCTTTTAATGCATTGTAAATATAATTGTTTTCTTAATTTCCTTTTCAGATTGTTCACTACTAGTGTATAGAAATACAATGGATTGCAGGTTGATTTTGTATTCTTCGACTTTGTTGAATTTCTTTATTAGTTGTAACACGTTTTGTTCACTAACTTATTTCAAATGACTTACAATGGTGCCTGCACCTAGCGGGTGTTCAACACCCATTTGCTGTTAACTCCACCAGACATGGATCTGTTGTGGACCACGATCTGCTGGCCCCACAAGAGTGCACAGCAATGACACTGGCTCCGGGGAACCTACCTTCACTGTCTGTAACCCAGGGCTTCACAGATGAGGAGGGACAGGGGCGAACTCAGAAGCTCTCTGGGAGCCTCGCCTTAGACAGAAGCCCTAGTTCTGCCCGGTCACCTCCAGACAAACTACACTTCCCACAAGGCTTTGGTCCTCGCGTGGACTACGTTTCCCAGAGGACTTAGAGCCGTTGCCCGGCCCCAGCCCCACCTCTCCTGTACTTTAATGGCCGCCGAGACTGTGGCCCGGGGGCGCGGCTCCCGGGCCTGCGGTCGCGCGGGCGGAGCACGGAAGCCAGACGGCTGTCAGGCGGCGAAATTCCGGAACCTCGCGCTTGCGGAGCGCGGCGGCGGAGGCCGGGCCCAGGGGGCATCCGAGCCCGGGGAGGTGAGCGGCTGAGGGACGGGGATTGCGGGAGGCGGATCAGGGCCTCGGGAGGATGCGGGGACCCTGCCCGAGACTCGCTTAGAGACCAGCCTGTCGCCTTCACAGCCAGCCGTCCGCGACGCCGCCTGGACGTGTGCGGTCGGCGCTCGGTCCCGGTTCGCCCCAGCGCAGCCTCCCGCCTCCTGAGCCCCGTCCCGGCGCGTTCCCTGCCCGCGCTGCCGACTTGGAGCGGCCGCGGCCGCGGTCACGCGTGGGAAACGCGGTCCTCCCCGGGGAGCCAGGCGCCCGCCCCCCACGCCAGAGCCAGGACCAGAACCAGAACCAGGTCTTCCTTTTCTGTGGCCGGGCCCCGCCGGGCATGGGGAAGCCACCGTTCCCCGTTTCTGGAAGGGTTTTCTTGAAAACCCTGGAAATGGATTCATTTGCAGGAGGCAGAGAAATTGGGTGGGCGCAGCTGAGGCTGAGGAAGACTGTCGCAGGGAAGACCGTGACACTAGAGCCGCTGCCCTGGGTGCGGGCTTGGAGTCCTGTAACTTCTCACTGGCTGTGTTAATGGAGACAGGTGGCCCCACTCGTCCTGTTTCCTGATCGATAAAATGGGGGCGCCAAGCAGTGTAAGGCGGTGCCTGGCATGGGGTGAGGCTCAGTGTTGGAACCCAGGGTCGTCTCCTACTGGTGCCTCCTGTAGATTGCCTGGGCCGGCATGGGCCCAGCCTTTCCCTGGTCCTGTCCACTCCCAGCTCCTCCTGACTTCCCTCTCTGAAGGCCCCTGGGGTCATTATCTGGTGGTGAAAAGGATTTGACAGCTGCTGATTCCTTATGGTCCCCTTTTCTTCTCTCACATCCAGCCTCTGAGGGACGCTGCAGTTATCCTTGGGGGAAGAGCTCAGATAGAGGACATGGCTCCTGAGCAAAGGGAAGCACAGTCTCAGGTGAGCTCACTGACCTCTCAGTTCTTACTGGATGGAGATGGAGTTTTTCCTGCCTTAACTGAAGTTCTCTACTGAATACAACCTTTGCCAGGATTTGGAGTCCATCTTTTAAGTAGGAGGAGTTGGTCCACCCTGGTGGGTGGTGGGTTCTGTAGGGGATACTCACTCCCATGTCTTAATGTTCACTTCTGTCCACTAGTCTCAATCTGCTGTGTCATCACTAATTTGACAGGTAACAAACATGCTAGGTGTCTTTTCATTACTATGGACAGACAAACATGCACACCTGGGAAAATTCTGCTCTGACCCTGCCACCTTCACTCATCATGTCTCTCTGTGCCCCTGGCAAGAATTCTTTTCTTTTTCTCCTCCCTCCTGAGTATCTTCGTAATGCCTCCCCCAGGTTTCCCAGCCCCAAGTGTTTATTTTTTTTCTCCACTGTACTTATGGATCATGTGCTTTGCCTCTACCACTGCCTTAAAAAATGACTTTGACCTGTCATTTTCATCTTTATGTTGGGGAACTGGGGAGGCCTCCCCCATCCAGGTGAGACGATGAGGCCTATGATAGCAGGAGACCCAATAGGAGAGGTCTCTTACTCCAATACCAAAGAGAAGACACCTCGGGAAGGCACAGGAGTGTCCCGTGCGCCATCTGTGGCAGAGAAGCAGTGCACACAGTGGTTAGGAAATAACCACTGTCTCTCAAGCCAGACAGATGGTTCTAATCCCTCTCCTCTGTTGCTGTTTGTGGGCTTTGGACAAATAACTCCTCTTTTTCCTCACCTATAAAATCAGTGCCTACCTCCTAGGGTAGATGAGAGAATGACATGAGTTAGTGTTTACCTCAGGGCAAGGTACATAGTAGCAGCTCAATGTGTGCTTATTGTGGTACTGAATGATCTACATTGATAATATTAATGTTGGTGGACAGAAACTAACATACAATGTTTTTAGGACTCAGAAAATACTTGTCCTTTTCTACTCTTTTTTTTTTTTTCATGGGACTGGGGTTTGAACTCCAGGCTTCACACTAGCAAAGCAGGCAGTCTACCACTTGAGCCACATCTCCAGTCCATATTGCTCTGGTTGTTTTGGAGATGGGATCTCTGACATCCTCCTGATGTCAGCCTCCCAAAGTAGGTAGGATTACAGGTGCGAGCCACCTGTGCCCGGCTTTTCTACTCATCTTTGTGTTGCAATAATATTTGATGTTTATTAAGTGTCCAGGGTGCTAAGAAACGCACTTAGGCTTTGCATTTGTTATTTCTCACTCTTGCAGATGTCCACATTTTTCCATGCATATGAGGACACCAAGGCACAAAGAAGCCAAGTTACCCAAGTTCATGCTCAGGTGTAGCTGGCCCCCAGTCCATGCTTAGACCATCCAGCCCTCCTCTATGCGGACAGACCCAGGCACGCTACTAGAGCACGTCAGCAATAGAGTTTTAGTTTAACTTTGGACTCACAAATGTGGTGGGGTTTGATCCTCTGGATTATGGCCAGCACTTACCATTGCATGTTTAAGCTGCTCTATTTCTTTTGGTTTTCCCATTCTACATTCTACTCTGACAGGATTTTTTTTTTTTTTAAATCAGGTTGTTGGAGTGGTCTGTCTGGTAAGTTTTGTTAGTAATGAGGCTGGTATCTTTTCCTCGTAGTTTAAGAAGCTTAAGATACAGATCAGTGGCCAAAATATCCTTGGGGATATGGTGCTACCTTGTACCTGGCAGGATTTTTTTTTCCCTCTATCTTATGATAAGGGGATGAGGGACATTTCATACATTGTTGACAAGGGAAGAGAATGTCTCTTGTTGGGTAACAGTGGTTTAACAGCATGAGACCCTATCATCTCTTCTGTTTCATTTATATCTTCCTATTTTCTTATGTAGAATGAGGAAAATGACGGATCTTTCTTCCTAGGATTACGGTAAAGATTAAATAGGTGATGCACAAAAGATTAATATAAAGCTCCAAGAGAAGTGCTTGACCCGTAGAAAGCATTCAATAACTGATTTCTGTTTTAATGTTTGTAATTACTGTCCTCAAGCTTGAAGAAGCAGACAGTGCCTTATTATTTGACCTAGTCTTCATTAGTGAGCATTTAGGTGGTTTCCACTTTTTTGCTGCAACACCATAAATACTTTGTGTATGCAATTTTGTGAAATGTTCATTAAAATACAAATGTAGTAATTGGTGAGTTAAAGAACATACAGCTTGTAAATATGTATTATCAAATCTCCATTAAAAGGTCATTCTAATTAGCATTTAAAGGCCATAATCCCCCTATTCATCTCTCACAGTGCTTAACACCAGGCCAGTTCCTACTTTATCCTGCTCAGTGTGTGTTTGTCATTGGTCAAATATTCATTAAACAAATTATCTGACCCATCAGCACCTTGAATGTCATGAGTAGCATTTCACGGTAGCCTGTCCACCTCCTCTACTCTGTGAGGGTTGGTTCCGGGTGAGCTGGAATAGCCTGTCTTTGTAGGGGTCAGTGACATTTGAGGATGTGGCTGTGCGCTTTACTCGGGATGAGTGGAGAAAGCTGGATCCTTCTCAGAGGAGGTTGTACCGGGAGGTGATGCTGGAGAACTACAGTCACCTGGCTGCACTGGGTAAGGAAATTTCCCTGTAGATACAGAATTCAGAAATGGGGGCTCTCAGCACCTCCTTCTCTGAATAAACACTGTGGGCCATCAAAAAACCTTAGCTGAGTTTTGCTTTGGGATTGTACGGATTAGATCTCTATAAATATTGAAACTTTTTTCCCGCTTGCAAGTGTGAAATTGCCCAATGTATGGGAACCAGTGAAGTTGATGCTGATAATTTTCTCCCTCCATCTTCACAATTTCACATTAGAAATTCCGTCATAGTTGAGGCAACATTTTCCTACTATGGTTTTTTTTTGTTTGCTCACTCCTGAGCAAAGGCTTCTCTCAATCTTCCTTACTGACCTCCTGCTTCCCTTTCCCATTTTTCTTTTCCAGCCAAATGAAAACTGTGTACTTCATCTTTGAAAGGGAATCAGACAGTGTTTCCTCACTTTAAAGAGGCTACTTAGTACATTATCTTTCCCATAGGTAACTGCTTGTGAATTTTAATTGAAAGCTATGGCAGCCTGTTTCCCTAACAAAATTAATTTCCCCAATAGTCGTATTCTATAGTCCCTTGTCTTTTACTTAACACATCCCTTCACATCATGGGCCACTTCTTAAGCATCCTGCAGAAACTATACCATCTGAGTTTTCTACTCAAATTTGTGATAATTCTTTGTATCAAAACAAGACACAAAGTCTATTATTATTATTATTATTATTATTATTATTATTATTATTTTGCCTATGAGCAGGACTTCAATTTACCAAACCAAAGATGATCTCCGTGTTGCAGCAAGGAGAAGATCCCTGGAAGGTAGAGAAAGAAGGTCCTGGAGGCTCCTGTCTTGGTGAGTGGGTGGGTCTTAGGTTAGTAAGAAGAGGGTGCAGCTTGGAGTATTGGTTGGGAGAGTTCTTCAGATTCTTTGTCTTCAACAAGTATTGGGAAAGGGGAAGCCAGGCTCCTAATCAGAGCTTTTCATTGTGTCATAACCACTTCTCAAATGAATCTCTTTAAGATCTGTTTTCTTGTTCTTTCCTATTATTTCCTAGGAGGGCTGCATTTTCATGTATTCATTCCAGAAACATGGTGTATTTAAGGGATTGCAAGTAATTCATTTTGTCTGAAGCTCAGGGTATGTATAGGAAAAGGAGATGAGGAAGGAAATGAGATTGAAGACTCTGTAAGTGTCACATTGTAAGTGCTTCAGCACAGTTCTAAGAAATTTGAGCTGTCCTGTGGATGACTGGAAATATTTGAGGAATTTAAATAGAGCATTGTATAATCCTTGATAGCTTAAAAAAAGATCTGGATCAGAAACAATTTAAATGTCCTTTAATAAATAGCTAGAGAAGCTCTGGTGTATCCTTACCCTGGCCTACATTGCTACAGTTAAAATGAAAGAACACTAACATGGACAGAGTGCCAAGACACGTTAAGGAGTAAAACAAGTTACAGAGCAGCATTTATGTTTAAAGAAATATGCATGTGAGCACAGAGAGAAAGGTGAGGAGGACACACTTTAGCTAGTAACACTAAGTTACTTTTAGAATGAGTCCAATGAAAGAGGACTTTAGTTGCCTGTAATGGTTTCAGTTTTCACAAAGCGTATTATATTCCTGAAATCTGTATGTGATGTGAATGTAAAGAAGAGTCACTTTGGGGGCATCAGGAGGGTAGATTTAATGAGGCAAAACTAGAGGTGAGAAGCATCACAGAGCCGTTGCAGGAATGTAGGCAAGAAGCTAGTAGGGCCTCGACCAAGGCCCCAGGTCTCAAAGGGAATGAGGAGAGAGCCAGTTTGATAAGGGCATAGAGGGAAGTTGGTGTGAGATTGTTTTCATTTGAGACATGAGTGAAATACTTGTGTAGACATCGCTGTTGACAATCACAAAAGGTAGATGGTGTTGGAGCTCGGGGAGCGTTCGTGGTGGAGGTGGCATTTGCAGCCTTGCGCTGACCAGGTGAGGGAACAGAGCAGAAGGCAGAATCCCTAGAAACTGCATTTGCAAGGTGCTTAAGGAAGAGAATCCATGAGTGAGCCTGAGATGAAGGGTCAGCAGAGAGAAATGGGAGAGGTGGCCACTGGGAACTGAAGTTTGTTTAGTGGGAGAGGCCCTCACTGGAGGACCTAGGCTCACATCCTGGTCTGCCCCTTGGCCATGTCTTCATAAATACTGAGTAAGCTCTGGGCACCACTAGTGGGGCTGCACTGGGCAGAAAGAGACTGGATCCAGCCACTGTGTAGCTCCCAGTCCAGTTGGGGAAAGGAGGGTGAAGATGCCAAGCGTACACAGGCAGCGATATGGCAAATTCTAGTGGGGCCTGGGAGAAAGGGGAAAATACAGAGTGCTGTGAGAGTGCAGGACACAAGGGCAGCATCAGCCAAGGTTTCCCTGAGGAAGGGCGGGTCCAAGCATGAGGACAATGATTCCAGGCCTAAAAGAAGGGAAGCCAGTGTTGACCCAGGGGAAGGGTAGAAGTGGCAACAGGAGACAGCAGCAGGACCAGATCCTGCTAAGTCCAGATCCTGCCATGGGGTTTGGTCTGATGATTTTAGAGCCTGCATGGGGCTGAGGAGTTGGGAGTAACCTGGAGCCAGGCCCAGGTCCACCTTCTTCAGAGTAGCCTACAGCCTCCTGGGGAACCCGATGAAGTAGAGAGGAGGGCACGTGGAAGGCTGTCTGTGTCAGGTCCAGACCTTCAGCTATGGCCCCTCACACCTGGGCCCAGGTAGCAGTGTGGGACAGACTGCCTGGGTATAGCAGCCCCCATGCTGGAAGAGCTCTCCCTGTCTAAAGTGGGTTTCTCAGGTAACCATCATTTGGGAAAAGTCCACTAATTGGGTGGAAAATGCGAAAACCACCCCAAAATAAGCAGAACCAGGCAGTAGGGAAGCTGATGAAACTTAGAAGGTAGAAATCCAGTCATCAGGTGTGACCTGAATCTAACAGGAAAGATGAGAGGAGGATGAAAAAGAATCTTTCTCTGTCCGCTGGGGACTAACAGACATGTGAGTCTCCCTTCCTGAGCGTACTGAGTGTACATAGGAGTAGACTGGGTTGGAAGCAGTACTGGAGTCCAGAGCTGTCCAGGGAGAGGCTGGGACTCCTGACCATGAGGACAACACACCTCCTCAGCGCTGAGGACAGTCCTGGAGAGAATCATGGGTGGATTCTTAAGTGAAGTGGCGGTTGTCAGCTGGTTTCTGTTCTGTTCCTCTTCCTTTCTTTGGTGGACTATGATAGCCTTGGGACAGCCTTTCCCAACAAGAGCTCACCCCCATGTGGAAGAACCTGTGCCTTCTCAGAAGAACCTCAGATTATTACCTTTTAGCCAGCATCAGCTATTACTGGCCTGGCACCAGTGGCTCACACCTATAATCCTAGCTACTTGGGAAGAAGCTGAGATTAGGAGGATCATAGTTTGAGGCCAGGCTGGGCAAATGGATTGGGAGACTCCATCTCTAAAACAACCAGAGCCAAATGGATTGGAGATGTGGCTTAAGCAGTAGAGTACCTGCTTTGCAAATCTGAAGTCCTGAGTTCAAATTCCAGTAAACACCCCCCCACACCTGAAAAAAAACCTATCCCTGAAGAGCCAGTGGCAGAAAAGCTCTTGTTTTAGGAGCAGGGCCTCCTAGAACCTCTAGTTGTCTCAAAATGCACTTTTGCAGAGCTGGAGGCAGAGCTGAAGCAGTAGAGTCCCTGCCCAGCAGTCACAAAGCCCTGAGTTAAAACCCAAGTACTGGAAAAAAAAAAAAAAAAGCACTTTAACAAAGTTATTTACTTCACATCTACTTATAAATTGGGAAAAATAATATAAGAAAATCAATTTTGTATCATCCCTGGGTTTGTAAATTTTAAATTGAGAAATGGAAGAGGATGGCTCAAATATTCTGTGACTCACTTGAGTCTCTTGGCTGAGAAATTGACCAAAGTATATAGCACCGTGGCTATGCTTTTCTGAGGTAGTTAGTTGCACTAAGAATCATGGGGTTAAACCAACTTCTAAATCTCATAAGCTCGATTCAGACTGAAATGTGAAAATACTCTGGAAATCTAAACTTCTTTAAACTCAAAGGGTGATCCGGGTAATCAAGTCCTTCCAATGAAGGACTACTTTTCTTCCCTTGTCTTTTTCTCTTCTTCTGTCTTCTTACTGAAAGAATCTGTCTAGGGTGGACTGAACTGGTACAGTGTAGCCAGCTGCAGAGTCACCTGTTGACCTCTCAGTGAGGTCTGCTGGGACTGTGTCTGCTCACAAGGAAGGGCATCTTTTCCTAACTTGCACAAGGTGCCTAGAGGTTGACAGTAGCCCTATTGAAGTAGCATGACATGATTTTAAGAAGTGATTGTCCCTACAAACTGAGAAGTGCAGCCACAGTGTTCTGTAGCCCTGTTTAATTTTCATGAGTCTTTTTTTTTTGTCCCCCTGCCTGCTCCAGCAAGAACCCACATGTGGGCCCTGCACCTCTCTTGCCACTAACATAGCTGCAGAGGGCTCTGTTTAAAAGGTGAATCGTCACATATAACTCCCATGCTCAAAATCTCTAGTGTCTTCCATCCCATGAAGCACAGTCCAGAATTCTCGCGGTGGTCTTTAGAGACCATGTGGTTGCCCTGTCTATCTGCCTCTTCATCTTTATCTCCTACTGTACCTATTCTAATCACTTTAACTGCCACTTCAGGTCCTCTGCACTTGCCTATTTCTTTTGTAGACCATTCATCCTGTCTCTCCCTCTACATGGTAGGCTCCCTCTTTATGCAGAGCTACCTGTTTTCATTCATTCCCATTTCCCTAGTGCTTAAAGCAATGGCTGGCCAGAGTAAGTTTCCATTTATATAGTGAATGCAGGAGTGACTCAGAATGGGCACTGGTGAAGGAGATAGAAAAGTGTGAACCGGTTCCAGAGAATTCTGGAAGATAAAAGCAGCAGATCTTGGATTAGATATGAAAGATAAAGGAGATGGAATGGTCAGGGATGTTTGCTTGTTATTTGCTTATTCTTGGGTAGACATTGATACCATTTAATGAGATGTAATAACTGGAAGATCTGATTTGAAAGATGGTACAAATTTGTTTTTTTTGGAGACTTTTTTTGTTAAGTTTAGACAATTATGGACTCACTTGCAACTTTAAGAAGTAGCACAGAGTTTTATGCTTCTATACTCAGTTCCAAAACTGTAACACTGTGTCACCATCAAGATACTGACACCATACAATGAAGATACAGAAGAATTCTTTCATTCTACAGGGTCCTTCCTGTACCCTTTTTTAGACATGCTACTTCTTTCTTATTCACTATTTCTGTTCTCCACCTTCCTTCCACCTTATCCCTAGTGAGGCAGGCTAGTGACTTGGAAAGTAAACCCCCAGGAATCCACTCTCTCAGCAAAAGGTCACCCCATGCTGAATTCCTCTTCTCCACCCAGTACCATCCTTGACTATCTCAGTTGTAAATTCCTTTTCAATTGTAAATCCCTTTGCAGATCTAAGTTCCCCAAAACACCTAGGAGTCTCTTCCTAGAAAATGGCACATGCCCAGTAAAAGGGAATCTGTCCTCAATTTGACTTCTCAGGTAAAGCCATCTGCTTAAGGCCTTATAAATATGGTCACAGCTCATACATACAATTAAAGACCTTGTCAATCAAATCTGCCAATCACCCTAGTCCCTCCCAAAAAGACTGCCCAAATTTTTCCTGCCATTTGCCCTTAGAACTTATAAACTGCCCTTTGAAGAAAGATCTGAGCTTCTGTCTCACCTGGCCAGGGCCCACTGCTTTCTTTTGCAGTGCCTGTTCTTTCCTTTTCCTTTCAATAAAACTACTGCAGTTTTGCAATTTGTG